AGACATGACCGTTGAGCCTCCCGGCTATGTCTTCCTGCACTCCAATGTGAGCCCAGCGTCTTACTCCTTCCCCTAATGAGTTAAAACCCCATCCCACATCTGAAGGGGCAGACATGACCGTTGAGCCTCCCGGCTATGTCTTCCTGCACTCCAATGTGAGCCCAGCGTCTTACTCCTTCCCCTAATGAGTTAAAACCCCATCCCACATCTGAAGGGGCAGACATGACCGTTGAGCCTCCCGGCTATGTCTTCCTGCACTCCAATGTGAGCCCAGCGTCTTACTCCTTCCCCTAATGAGTTAAAACCCCATCCCACATCTGAAGGGGCAGACATGACCGTTGAGCCTCCCGGCTATGTCTTCCTGCACTCCAATGTGAGCCCAGCGTCTTACTCCTTCCCCTAATGAGTTAAAACCCCATCCCACATCTGAAGGGGCAGACATGACCGTTGAGCCTCCCGGCTATGTCTTCCTGCACTCCAATGTGAGCCCAGCGTCTTACTCCTTCCCCTAATGAGTTAAAACCCCATCCCACATCTGAAGGGGCAGACATGACCGTTGAGCCTCCCGGCTATGTCTTCCTGCACTCCAATGTGAGCCCAGCGTCTTACTCCTTCCCCTAATGAGTTAAAACCCCATCCCACATCTGAAGGGGCAGACATGACCGTTGAGCCTCCCGGCTATGTCTTCCTGCACTCCAATGTGAGCCCAGCGTCTTACTCCTTCCCCTAATGAGTTAAAACCCCATCCCACATCTGAAGGGGCAGACATGACCGTTGAGCCTCCCGGCTATGTCTTCCTGCACTCCAATGTGAGCCCAGCGTCTTACTCCTTCCCCTAATGAGTTAAAACCCCATCCCACATCTGAAGGGGCAGACATGACCGTTGAGCCTCCCGGCTATGTCTTCCTGCACTCCAATGTGAGCCCAGCGTCTTACTCCTTCCCCTAATGAGTTAAAACCCCATCCCACATCTGAAGGGGCAGACATGACCGTTGAGCCTCCCGGCTATGTCTTCCTGCACTCCAATGTGAGCCCAGCGTCTTACTCCTTCCCCTAATGAGTTAAAACCCCATCCCACATCTGAAGGGGCAGACATGACCGTTGAGCCTCCCGGCTATGTCTTCCTGCACTCCAATGTGAGCCCAGCGTCTTACTCCTTCCCCTAATGAGTTAAAACCCCATCCCACATCTGAAGGGGCAGACATGACCGTTGAGCCTCCCGGCTATGTCTTCCTGCACTCCAATGTGAGCCCAGCGTCTTACTCCTTCCCCTAATGAGTTAAAACCCCATCCCACATCTGAAGGGGCAGACATGACCGTTGAGCCTCCCGGCTATGTCTTCCTGCACTCCAATGTGAGCCCAGCGTCTTACTCCTTCCCCTAATGAGTTAAAACCCCATCCCACATCTGAAGGGGCAGACATGACCGTTGAGCCTCCCGGCTATGTCTTCCTGCACTCCAATGTGAGCCCAGCGTCTTACTCCTTCCCCTAATGAGTTAAAACCCCATCCCACATCTGAAGGGGCAGACATGACCGTTGAGCCTCCCGGCTATGTCTTCCTGCACTCCAATGTGAGCCCAGCGTCTTACTCCTTCCCCTAATGAGTTAAAACCCCATCCCACATCTGAAGGGGCAGACATGACCGTTGAGCCTCCCGGCTATGTCTTCCTGCACTCCAATGTGAGCCCAGCGTCTTACTCCTTCCCCTAATGAGTTAAAACCCCATCCCACATCTGAAGGGGCAGACATGACCGTTGAGCCTCCCGGCTATGTCTTCCTGCACTCCAATGTGAGCCCAGCGTCTTACTCCTTCCCCTAATGAGTTAAAACCCCATCCCACATCTGAAGGGGCAGACATGACCGTTGAGCCTCCCGGCTATGTCTTCCTGCACTCCAATGTGAGCCCAGCGTCTTACTCCTTCCCCTAATGAGTTAAAACCCCATCCCACATCTGAAGGGGCAGACATGACCGTTGAGCCTCCCGGCTATGTCTTCCTGCACTCCAATGTGAGCCCAGCGTCTTACTCCTTCCCCTAATGAGTTAAAACCCCATCCCACATCTGAAGGGGCAGACATGACCGTTGAGCCTCCCGGCTATGTCTTCCTGCACTCCAATGTGAGCCCAGCGTCTTACTCCTTCCCCTAATGAGTTAAAACCCCATCCCACATCTGAAGGGGCAGACATGACCGTTGAGCCTCCCGGCTATGTCTTCCTGCACTCCAATGTGAGCCCAGCGTCTTACTCCTTCCCCTAATGAGTTAAAACCCCATCCCACATCTGAAGGGGCAGACATGACCGTTGAGCCTCCCGGCTATGTCTTCCTGCACTCCAATGTGAGCCCAGCGTCTTACTCCTTCCCCTAATGAGTTAAAACCCCATCCCACATCTGAAGGGGCAGACATGACCGTTGAGCCTCCCGGCTATGTCTTCCTGCACTCCAATGTGAGCCCAGCGTCTTACTCCTTCCCCTAATGAGTTAAAACCCCATCCCACATCTGAAGGGGCAGACATGACCGTTGAGCCTCCCGGCTATGTCTTCCTGCACTCCAATGTGAGCCCAGCGTCTTACTCCTTCCCCTAATGAGTTAAAACCCCATCCCACATCTGAAGGGGCAGACATGACCGTTGAGCCTCCCGGCTATGTCTTCCTGCACTCCAATGTGAGCCCAGCGTCTTACTCCTTCCCCTAATGAGTTAAAACCCCATCCCACATCTGAAGGGGCAGACATGACCGTTGAGCCTCCCGGCTATGTCTTCCTGCACTCCAATGTGAGCCCAGCGTCTTACTCCTTCCCCTAATGAGTTAAAACCCCATCCCACATCTGAAGGGGCAGACATGACCGTTGAGCCTCCCGGCTATGTCTTCCTGCACTCCAATGTGAGCCCAGCGTCTTACTCCTTCCCCTAATGAGTTAAAACCCCATCCCACATCTGAAGGGGCAGACATGACCGTTGAGCCTCCCGGCTATGTCTTCCTGCACTCCAATGTGAGCCCAGCGTCTTACTCCTTCCCCTAATGAGTTAAAACCCCATCCCACATCTGAAGGGGCAGACATGACCGTTGAGCCTCCCGGCTATGTCTTCCTGCACTCCAATGTGAGCCCAGCGTCTTACTCCTTCCCCTAATGAGTTAAAACCCCATCCCACATCTGAAGGGGCAGACATGACCGTTGAGCCTCCCGGCTATGTCTTCCTGCACTCCAATGTGAGCCCAGCGTCTTACTCCTTCCCCTAATGAGTTAAAACCCCATCCCACATCTGAAGGGGCAGACATGACCGTTGAGCCTCCCGGCTATGTCTTCCTGCACTCCAATGTGAGCCCAGCGTCTTACTCCTTCCCCTAATGAGTTAAAACCCCATCCCACATCTGAAGGGGCAGACATGACCGTTGAGCCTCCCGGCTATGTCTTCCTGCACTCCAATGTGAGCCCAGCGTCTTACTCCTTCCCCTAATGAGTTAAAACCCCATCCCACATCTGAAGGGGCAGACATGACCGTTGAGCCTCCCGGCTATGTCTTCCTGCACTCCAATGTGAGCCCAGCGTCTTACTCCTTCCCCTAATGAGTTAAAACCCCATCCCACATCTGAAGGGGCAGACATGACCGTTGAGCCTCCCGGCTATGTCTTCCTGCACTCCAATGTGAGCCCAGCGTCTTACTCCTTCCCCTAATGAGTTAAAACCCCATCCCACATCTGAAGGGGCAGACATGACCGTTGAGCCTCCCGGCTATGTCTTCCTGCACTCCAATGTGAGCCCAGCGTCTTACTCCTTCCCCTAATGAGTTAAAACCCCATCCCACATCTGAAGGGGCAGACATGACCGTTGAGCCTCCCGGCTATGTCTTCCTGCACTCCAATGTGAGCCCAGCGTCTTACTCCTTCCCCTAATGAGTTAAAACCCCATCCCACATCTGAAGGGGCAGACATGACCGTTGAGCCTCCCGGCTATGTCTTCCTGCACTCCAATGTGAGCCCAGCGTCTTACTCCTTCCCCTAATGAGTTAAAACCCCATCCCACATCTGAAGGGGCAGACATGACCGTTGAGCCTCCCGGCTATGTCTTCCTGCACTCCAATGTGAGCCCAGCGTCTTACTCCTTCCCCTAATGAGTTAAAACCCCATCCCACATCTGAAGGGGCAGACATGACCGTTGAGCCTCCCGGCTATGTCTTCCTGCACTCCAATGTGAGCCCAGCGTCTTACTCCTTCCCCTAATGAGTTAAAACCCCATCCCACATCTGAAGGGGCAGACATGACCGTTGAGCCTCCCGGCTATGTCTTCCTGCACTCCAATGTGAGCCCAGCATGGCTGCTCTCCTCTCCCCCCTCGAGATCCGGACATGGCTCAGTGAGCTGCGTGCGTGCAGTAGGCTTAAGCAAAGGAAAAAACAGCAATGTGAGCGCAGCTCACTGAGCCATGTCCGGATCTCGCATGGCAGCTCTCCTCTCCCCCCTCCTGGTGTGGTGTAGTGTGAGTCGATTCAATAGCCATGACTGTTGAGCCCCCCAGTTATGTTTTCCTGCACTCCAATGTGAGCCCATCCCACAATGCCATTCCTTCTGCTCCTCCCTAATCAATCAAGCCCCATCCCACCCACATCTGAGAGGTTATACCCGTTGAACCCCCTCCGGCTATGTTTTCCTGCAGTCCAATGTGAGCCCATCCCCATACCCTCTTCCCCTGCTCCCTTCCAATGTGAGGCCTCCCTTGTACCGCTCCTCCTCTCACCTCCTGCATTCTTGAGGCGCCTCAAAAATCTTCCAATGTGAGGCCTCCCTTGTACCGCTCCTCCTCTCACCTCCTGCATTCCAAAACGAAATGGGCGTTCTATTCTAGCCCGCTGGCTTCTCACCTCCTTCTACCCCTCTCCTCCTGCAGAATCTGAGTCGCTTTTGAGAATTCTCAAAAGTGGCTTCTCACCTCCTTCTACCCCTCTCCTCCTGCACTGCCTCGTGCTGTATCTGTCTGTCCTTGTGTCCTCGTGTGTGTGTGGCAGGGGGTGGTCATGGCTGCATGCATAGGCTGGCAACCCATGCTCGGAGGAGACTTTTCCACAATCACTGTAATTGGAGGTAGGTACACCTTGCATTCGTTAAATTCACTGTCATCAAAGGCACACTTGCTGCGTTTCCAGTCACTGCCACTTGTGATTTTGAAATAGAATGCTTTTGTTACAGTCACTGTTTATCAAGGGTACACTCTGCTTGCTTTGCAGTCACTGTGTCAACAAGCGAAACTAGCGGAAGCTCACCATGTTTTTCTTGCTCCTTCTTGCTCTCTGTGCATTGAGGTGTATTTTGAGGCGCCTCACAATACAAGAAGCGAAACTAGCCGGGAAGCTCACCATGTCTTTCTCGCTCTTTCTTGCTCTCTCTCTCTCTCCCCCTCTCCCCGACATTTGCTGCGCAACCACCTGGTGGTGTATGACACAGACAACATGAAGCTAGGATGCCTCAGTTCAGTCATTTCCCCTCATTCCGACCTCTCTGCCCCCCGTCCTGTCACCCCTTATCTTGTCTCTCCCTCTCCCGGACATAGTGCTACACGGCCGCCTTGTGGTGTATGACACAGGCAACATGAAGCTAGTTTTGAGACGACTCAAAAAACTGCCTTGTGGTGTATGACACAGACAATATGAAGCTTGAATGACTGAGTCACCTCACCTCCTCCTCCTCCTCCTCCTCCTCCTCCTCCTCCTCCTCCTCCTCCTCCTCCTCCTCCTCCTCCTCCTCCTCCTCCTCCTCCTCCTCCTCCTCCTCCTCCTCCTCCTCCTCCTCCTCCTCCTCCTCCTTCCTCCCTCCCACTCCCCCTGTCCACCCTGTATCCCCCTTTCCTCGCAGACATAGTGCTGCGCAACCACCTAGTGGTGTATGACACAGACAACATGAAGCTAGGATGGGCTCCCTACGACTGTGAGTTCCGTTTCACTGCACTGATGCAACAGTATTCTGATCTGAGGTTTTTGAGACGTCTCAAACATTCACTGCACTGGTGCAACTGTATTCTGATCTGAGGTGCCTCTAGAGTCAGGTGACTTTAGTCTCGAGCCAAACGCAACCACCTTGTGGTGGATGACACGGACAACATGAAGCTAGGCTGGGCTCCCTACGACTGTGAGTCTGTTCAGAGTCTGTGAGTCTGTGGCTGTCACTTGTGCAGAGTATGCTCAGCATTCAGTATTTCGCTCCCTTCCTCCTTCCTTCCCTCACTTACTTCCTTCCGCGTTCTCTCCCTCCTTCCTTCCTACCTTTCTCTCTCCCTCCCACTAAGCAGTTGGATTACACACCTGGGACATTCCAAACCACAAGACCTCCACTTGTCTTTTCCTCCCTCTGCACATTTTATCAGACAGATTCCGTGGGCACAATCACAGCCGATGGTGGGGAATACAACGTCATCATCATTGTGGGAGCCAATCTCTCGAGCTGGCTTTTGAGTCAACTCAAAAGACATAATTCCCCCACTTGTCTTTCCCTCCCTCTGTGTGTTCACAGGTTCCGTGGGCACGATCACAGCCGATGGTGGGGAATACAACGTGACCATTATTGTGGGAGCCAATCTCTCCCCCCCTCCACCCGTCAAGTCGTCTGCCTCTGCTGCTCGGGGCCCCACTTTCATGCTCTCGTTACTGGCTGCTGCATTAACATCTGCTGTGCTTTTCCTCGGCACCAGTGGAGAGGGTTTGCTAGAAGAAAGTGAGTCTTCTTCTCGCCAGGGCTCAGGGGCACTGGACGCATCGGAAAGCCGTGGTTTGCGTCAAGGGCTTTCAAAAGTCGCATTACCGCAAGTCGACTGTTGTAGAGAGTATGAGATGCACTGTTGTTCGCTTGAATCGATGCCGTGGTTAGATGATGATGTGGTTAGATGGTGACTTGCAGTGGCAGCTACGGGATGGCATCGGGTGTGGTGCTACTTATTTTCTGTGCAATTGCTAAAGGGATTCATAGTTAAAAAAAGTTATTATGTTAGCATTCCAAATGCATGTAAAGAACTATTGAGCTTTTCTCTCCCACACAATCTTCACTTGTTAATAATAAGTGTATACACATAGAGTACTTGTGATGTAGTACACTAGTTACCCTCAAGTTTGGGAATCACGTGGTATCATACAAAACCTACCCCGCATGTATTCCCCAGTAGCCGCTGGTGGAAATTTGGCAAACCTTCCTTGGCTCATTCCGTGCTACTGCCTCTTGCTGCTACTAATTTGAATCGTGCAGAACATAATCTGGACCTTGCTCCCGCCATTTGCGCGCTGGCGCATCCGCTCTCCCGCGTAGTTGTCTCACATGGATGAATCCGATTTCCTTAAAGCCCTGGCGCTTTACCCCGTAGTCCGCTTGCGCGACTATAATGAAAATGACCTCCCAGCCACTTGTGCTGCTTCCTCCCAAGAATCTGAATCCCGCGGTAATCCCAAGGGGGTCAGTTCAGTCGCAGAGGAAGCTTCCGAGCAGCAACCTGAGACAGATGCAGCGAAGTTAGGGCTTGGGGTAACGGCTCCTCCTCCTTCTAGGTCGTTCTGGGAGGTGCTGCAGGAGCGAGTGGCGGCGCACTTACCGCCGGGAGATGCGGTGGCGTTCTGCGACGCGTTCAAGGAGTTCCACGAGGAGCTTATTCAGCAGAGATTGTCGCTGGATGACATTACGAGGATTGCTAAGCATGGGAAGGTGAAGTGATTTCTGAGACGAATTTGAAGATTTTCACGAGCAGCAGCTTATCAAGCAGAGATCGTCGCTGGGAGACATTAGGAGGATTGCTAAGCATGGGAAGCTGCTGCAAGTGAAGTGAAATAATCATTCTTACACAATAATTTCTGGCATGTTCTTAGATTGATTCGATGGTACCAGTATTGAATGCTTTGGAAGCAAGGCTGATTGGAGGGGTGAAAAGAAGTTGTCAAAGAGAGTGCTTTGTGTATCATAGATTGGCTGTGGAGTCTGGTTGGATTGTCATTGGAAGAATCGTCCATCATGGGTGATAACCCGTATAACGTGCACACAATATTTGCTACCTACACATCTAAACGAAACCCTTCCTATTGTCTTGTCATGGAATGGCATTAGAAGGATTGCATTGCATGTGAAGCTAGCAGGTTTACCAGGTGGAGTGAACAAACACATCCCCCATTTATTTTGGGAATTTGCAAAGAAACAACCTACAGGGGGGGTGCTGCTTATTACGGTATGTAGAAAACAATTTTCTATGTTCAAGGAATATTAGTACCTAGCATAGCACTCTATGCTCGTATATCCTCCTTGGACCTGTGCTCCTTTATTTTTTTCATCTGTTCTGTGAGAATATTTGTTATTTTCCCTTCGTCCGAGTGGCTGGGTTTGCCTCCCATCTGCACAACACAAACAGATGGAGAATGTGGGTGGGTGGGTGAGTGGGTGGGTACACTTATCAGTGGGTGCAATTCTATAAGAATGCGGCAGCATGCCGACTGAGGCTACAGAAGAGCAGAATGCCAATGCAGAGGATGAACTCGCCATTAAGTAGAAGTTTGTAGTGTAGACGTCAATAAAAACTGCCAACTCACGTGAGTTAGGAGGGCATATAGCGGCAGCGTGCTGAGGCTGCAGATGAGTACAGTGGTGATCCCGAATATGAACTTGAGCCACGGCACCCACGCGGAGTAGGTCTTGCACTGTGATTGGTTCAGCGCTAGATACTGGCGTGGTGTGGGGAGGGGTGGACAAGGGAGGGAGGGAGAACAGGAGCTGTGGCGTAAGAAACTTCTGATCAAGATCGTAAACTTGAGCCATGGCACCCACGCGGAGTAGGTCTTGCACTGTGATTGGTTCAGCGCCCGATACTGGTGTGGGCAGGGCACGGAAGAGGAGTGGGAACAGCAATTGAGCGGTAAGGAACTTGAAGTGCTTGGACTTCAAAAGATGAATTTGAGCCACGGTAGGTACCCTACCCACGCGGAGCGCAGTACTCTTGCACTGTGATTGGTTCAGCGCCAGATACTGGTGTGGCACGGGGAGGCAAGGACAGGGGAGGCACGTTAGCAGGAAGCAGTGAGAGGTGAGGAATTGGAACCACCACACCACACTCACCTTGGAGAGTGAGAGGCAAGGAATTAGATATTGGGACGTCTAGAAACAATCAGCACTTGTACCTTGAAGAACAGGCTTGTAGGAAGAAAGGCAAGGTGTTTGAATCACAACGCTCCTACCGTGTTGATCCTCAAGAATCTCCCACAATTTTACCTTGTGGTCCGTCCGTCCGTCCGTCGGGGTGCCTTTTGAGTCGACTCCGAAGTCACAGCACTTCTCTACCGTGATCATCCTCAGCAACCTCCCACACTTTTGAGAAATCTCAACAGCGTTTGAGAAATCTCAACAGCGTTTGAGAAATCTCAACAGCGTTTGAGAAATCTCAACAGCGTTTGAGAAAACTCGACAGCGTTTGAGAAAACTCGACAGCGTTTGAGAAATCTCAACAGCGTTTGAGAAATCTCAACAGCGTTTGAGAAATCTCAACAGCGTTTGAGAAATCTCAACAGCGTTTGAGAAATCTCAACAGCGTTTGAGAAATCTCAACAGCGTTTGAGAAATCTCAACAGCGTTTGAGAAATCTCAACAGCGTTTGAGAAATCTCAACAGCGTTTGAGAAATCTCAACAGCGTTTGAGAAATCTCAACAGCGTTTGAGAAATCTCAACAGCGTTTGAGAAATCTCAACAGCGTTTGAGAAATCTCAACAGCGTTTGAGAAATCTCAACAGCGTTTGAGAAATCTCAACAGCGTTTGAGAAATCTCAACAGCGTTTGAGAAATCTCAACAGCGTTTGAGAAATCTCAACAGCGCTTGAGAAATCTCAACAGCGCTTGAGAAATCTCAACAGCGCTTGAGAAATCTCAACAGCGCTTGAGAAATCTCAACAGCGCTTGAGAAATCTCAACAGCGCTTGAGAAATCTCAACAGCACTTGAGAAATCTCAACAGCACTTGAGAAATCTCAACAGCACTTGAGAAATCTCAACAGCACTTGAGAAATCTCAACAGCACTTCTCTACCAGGTTCATCCCCAGCAACCTCCCACACTCTTTTTACCTTGTGGCCGTTGGGTTGATACTCACATAGTAAACGGCGAGGTTGCCGATCGTGTACGAGCTCTGCGTGGAAAAAGACAGTGACAGCTCCTTTCTACCTTATGGTGGTTGCTATGGTGTTACTCACATAGTAAACGACGAGGTTGCCAATCATGTAGGAGCTCTGCAAGTGGGCAAATGTACAGTGAAAAGTTCGGAGGAAAGAGACGCGAATAAGTGACACCTTTAAAGGGGGTAAAGTTCAAGCCAGAGTGTACACGTGCCCACCATAAATGAAAGGGTTTGATTGTCGTGTGTAAATAAAGCAAAAAGAAAGAACGCTCGTAGACAAAATGCGAAGTGCAGCAGGTGCAGCTTTAAGGGGGGCACTGAAACTCAGAACTAAAAAAGACACTGTAAGTAGCAGCTCTATTCCTAGATAGTTTGCTAACCAAAAAGAGAGATGCTTACAATGAAGAGAGCGAAGTGGAGCAGAGACAGCATGAAGGTTGGTCGCTTGAAACAGAAAAGCGAGCCTCGTGGCTTTAAGTGCTCGCCCTCGCAGTCTCCCTGCACATGTGCGCTCTCTAGAGCCAGCAGCGATACTATGTACTCAAGCTTCGTTCCCACTGCCAGGGCGATCTGCATATTCATATACAGTAAACAAATTCATACGTAAAAAATTAGGTTTATAACAAATGCGTTTAAACTTGCATATGTATGCGATGTTATGCAGCCTCTGCACAGCCATGTGCATGCTACATAGATTGATATGTACGCTTTTAACGAACATGTGCTTGGACGAGCATGCGTTACAAGAATGTTAATATAACGAGCATGAGCTCACCAGGAGGCCGAGAACGGAAAAGATGAAGGAGATATCCCACTCTGCGGCAGAGAGAGAGGGTAAGAGTGACGAGGGGCGAGACGGGGTGATAAAGTGAGACGAACGAAGAACATATACACATATATACATGCATATACACATTTTTCTACACACATACATATATTCCGAGAGATGCTTGACACAGCAGCAGCTACGGTAGCGAAAGAAACAATCAAGGCAAAACACTATGTGTGAAGAAAATTGCATCCGGTGTTTTCATTTCGCCCAGTAAGTGCAGTAGAGGGAGTGACTTACTGTAGCTAGTAATGCATATGACAATAATGAGAGTGATCCAGAGGGGCAAGCTGGGTAGGCAGAGGGAAGGGTGTGGGGGGGGATGGGGGACAAAAGAAAGAGTCGGGAAGGGAGATTGAGGTTAAGTGGGGATGGGTGAGGAAAAAATAAAAGAAAAAAGAAACACGTTGTTGGAAACACCTGAGATTTCTCCTGAGCACGATTATGTGAACAAACGCTCTATCGACCACCTGAGATTTCACCTGAGCGCGATCATGTGAACAGAAACACCTGAGGCCGACGATGTAGACATATCGTTCTCTAGGTCATCAACCACGCATCTGTTGAAAACACCTGAGCATTCACCTGAGGCCGACGATGTGGACAAAGTCCTTCTCCAGGGAGCCAACCACGTAGTGGTAGAAATCAAAGTCGCGCGGAAGGTTCTGATTCTGAAAGATGGGGAGGAGGGAAGGGAGTGGATGAGTGGTGCTTGAATCTGATATTGCAGAAAGAAAGTCAGTAAGGGAGGAACAGCACTAGAAGGAACAGCATTAGTGCTTGATAACCGATCACACAGCAAGCTGAGATGCACTTAGCTGAAGAACAAACCGAAGATAATAACAATAACAATAACATTGATATGGTAATAATAGTAGTATTAATAATAGTAATACTATAATAGTAATATAATAATAGTAATATATTACTCACGTGAATGAATGCAAGTCGAAGAGTGTAGTAGTCAGACCGGGTGATGGGGTTGAAGAGCTGCTGGAAAAAGCATTGCTGTGGGGTTCAATATGGGACGGGATGGGGTGGGATGGGGTGGGATGGGATGGGATGAGGTGGGATGGGATGGGATGAGGTGGGATGGGGTGGGATGGGGTGGGTTGTGTCGGAACGTCATTTGAAGCGCCTCAAAAGTCAGACCGGTTGATGGGGTTGAAGAGCTGCTGGAAAAAGCATTGCTGTGGGGTTCAATGTGGGGTGGGGTGGGTGGATGAGAGGGGAGTTGGAGCATTGGGGGGGAGGAGAACGTGGAAGGGCGAACGTGGAAGGTCGAACGTGGAAGGGCGAACGTGGAAGGTCGAACGTGGAAGGGCGAACGTGGAAGGGGGAACAGAAAAAAAGGATGGGAGGGTTGAGAGCCTAACTTATTGCTTAATGCCCAACCACACCCAACTAGAAACCCCCCCCCCCCCAAACGCACCACAGTGAGCACCAGCGACTGCCAGACTGTCAGCTCAGTGCTCGCCTCTTTCCGCGCCATCGTTGCCAGTCGCACCAGCCGCTTCTTTCCCTCACCCCCTCCCTCCCCCTCCTTCCTCCCCTCCTTCCTCCCCTCCTGCCTCCCCTCCTGCCCCCTCCATTCCTTCTCCTTCCTCTCCTCCTCCTCTCTCTCCTCTTCCTCCTCATATACCGTATCCAGGTCATCCCCCTCCTCCTCCTCCCCTATCCACGTAAAATGCTCCGGCTCTTCCTCCTCTGCCACGTCATCCTCATCGATATATTGAACTTGCAACTTCAAGCCTCGCCGCGCTGGCTCCCGGGCCTCCTGTGCCCGAGCCTGCTCCCGAACCTGCTGCTCTTGGCTCCCCTGGGATTTCGCCTCTTCCCCCTACTTGACAACTTCCTGGAAGGTTCTCGCCAGCTCCGGCTCCTGCTGCACGCCGGGAGGGGGCTGCTCCACGTCATATCCGCCACCTGCTGAGCTGGAACCGGCATCTGCCACGTCAGCTGCCACGCGACGGCGAAAGCTGGCAAGGGGTCCAGTGCGGCGGAGAATGAAGCTGCGGTCCTGCAGGGCGCGGGTGAGCTGGCCTGATACCGCGCCCTTCCTTTGCTTCATCTTCTCTTGGCACTTGTTCTCCCACCTGTGCCACGTGGATACCTGCGGTGAGGTGGTTGGGTGGGTGGGGGTGAAGGGGGGGGGGGGGGGGGGGGGGGGGGGGAAGGGGAGACAAGGCATGGATATGACCTTCCTTTGCCTCATCTTCTCTTGGCACTTGTTCTCCCACATGTGCCACGTGGATACCTGGGACGGAGTGGGTGGGTGGGTGGGGATGAAGGGAGAACGGAGGGGAGACAAGGCATGGATATGACCTTCCTTTGCTTTAGCTCTCTTGACAGTTGTTCTCCCACACGTGTGACATGGATACCTGCGGGGAGGTGGTTGGGTGGGGAGAGAAGGATGGGGAATGGGGAAGCTAACAAGCGACGACAATGGTGATGCAGGTGTAGACGATGTGACCAAAGGGCTTGAAAGGTCACTGTTTTTTTTTTCAGGGTGTAAACAAGTATTGTGAGAGGAGTTTACCTTGGCACGGGCGATGACAATGGTGACACAGGTGTAGATGATGTGGCCGGCAACGAGGACGAAGATGAAGAGATGCAATTGGTGGATGGCTGATGGCGACATGAGTGGCTCCTGGCCCTGCGACCACGTACAGAGTGATTCCATACAGGTCATAACAGGAATTAATTCTAGAAGAATAAAAGCCACAGGAGACGAAAAAGGAAAGAAAAGGAAAAGAAAGAAGAAGAATAGAAGAAAAACAGGGTATTAGAGCTACCGGAGGTGAAATGGCATCGAAACTCTCAGGTGGACATTCGTTCGGGAAACTCGCCAGCTTTCTTCGCACATGATGGATGAGCCGGCTGCCATGCTCCCAACGGTCATCTTCTCCAAGAAGTTGCCGACGATGCTCTTCTTGGTCTTTCTGACGTTCCCAGTCCAAAATCAACCTACGAATTTGATCTTCTATGCCACTGGATGTCACTTCACTGTTTTTAGCTGGTGTAGATTCCATAAGCCCTCTTTCATGAAATTTGTTGACTTCATTTGAAGAACTAATGTTAGGAAATGGGACTCCTCGTGGTGGTATCGAGTCTGTTTTGTTGGTAACAGATCCCGTTTCGTTGCCGCGAAAGAAAGCTTTCGACGAAGATTTCAATTTCGTCCCGTTCGGGAATATGATCGTAGTCTCACGAAATTCGAGCCCAGTTCCGTTCGCGAACTGCTCGGTATTGACGACCGTCGAGAATGTCGTGCCATTTCCGCCACTCGGAGTAACCCCACTTTGATTCGTTTGAACCACTGGGAGACCTTTGTCCGTGAAGTTTGCAGCTGTACTGGCGGGCGGTGGAGAATAATAAGCAATCTCCGGCGGTTTGCACGGGATAAGAATGGTGTCTCTGACGACCGGGACGCACCACCCGGCGAGGAGCGGATTAATCAACGCGAGAACGATGGAGAGGAATCCGGCGACCATAAGCTCTGGCAAAATTATGAGAGGAGGAGAAAGAGGAAATATATGAGAAAGTGGACAGGTGTCAGTTTCGATCCTCGTTGATATTGTTTTCTCCCTAGAGGAGAACAGATGAAAATTCTTCATGAGAAGAAACAATATCCTTGTTGAAATTAAGTTGTTCTTACCGTCTTTAATGCGGTCGACCACGTGCACTAGGGCCTTATTCTTCCTGTGACCAAACCACTGCGCACAATAGACAAATGTGCGTAACGCATTACAGCCTGCTTCCTTTTCCTTAAATTAGAAAAGCCAAGAAAAGCAAGAAAGAAAGACAGACAAAACCGTTTTGAAGATCGGGAAACTTACATGGTGGATGACGTGGATGATTTTCTCAAAGAGCAGTGAAACGATGACAATTAAGGCGGTCACTGTAGCGATGTAGTAGCTCGGCGAGTAAACCATGTAGTTATACATGCCGCTTGTCTTCTTCTCACCGCCTCCGCCGCCGCCTTCTTCGCCGAGAATGCGCTCAAAGAGGAGATGATGCAGGTCCGACGCGGCGAAGTCATGAGGACTTCCCGCCATTTCGAACGATAAATATGACGTATTTCGTCAGCGAATGTAACGGACGTAACAATCGGCGAATGATGACTCGAAAACGGATCTCCTGGAGCAAGCCGCGCTGACTGACGAGTGGCCAAATCCGAGCAACAGACGAATGTAACAGACGAGCAAGACCTCTGCGCCGCGACGACGTGGATAAATCCGGAGCCTACGAGTCGCCCTGACTGGCTTCGCTGCAAGTAATCAATCACGGTTTAGGAGGGGATAGTGTCGGATGATAGCGTTTCTCGTTGGGCACGTGCTTCTCTTCAGGGTGGCTTGTGCTTTTTGAGTCGAATCTCCATGATAAGCCTTGCCTGGCTTCTTTAGACGAGTTGTGGTGGGAGTGTGACGAGCACCGCGATTCGCGAGCGTGCTCCATAATTCACTGTCAACTTCGCTTGCGGACCATGTCTCGTCATTTTCTCAATAATTGCGTGATTCGGCGTGCCGTGTAAGCGCCGTGTATGGCGGCGCTGCCTAGAACAATAATGTCCTGTGCTTGACAATAGTGTAACATCCTCCTTATTGAAGATTCCTCTGCAGTATATGAAGTGCTACTTCCAAAAGTTTGAGAGGCTTAAGAGTGTTTTGTTCCCATCCAATTATTTCCACGGTTTGGGGTCTATGGATTTTCAAAATACCGTAGCATACACTATATGCAGTGATCAACAGCATTACATAAAAGCAAACATTTGCCAGCTGCATCTCTCCCCGATCACCAATAATGTAACCATCCAACCTCATCTATTGCAGCTTTTATGGACCAACATTCCATAAGTTATCTTAACATCTCCCCTCGGTTCTGCAACTCATCCTCCATACAGTCAGCTCCGATCACTCCGATATAACGCTGATCGAGAACGGATTCGCATAATCCCCCGCAGCAGCCGCCGCCGCCGCAGCCGCAGCAGCAGCAGAGACAGAAGCATGCGGCATAAAAGCATCTCCAGCCTCGTCCATAAGCAATGCCGACTCCCCATCCCCCACTTTCAGGGACGACTCCAGCAGAGAATTCCCAGCTACAGCACCAGCGGAACCACCAACAGAACCAGCACCGGCAGAGATAGAGGCGGCAGCAGCAGCAGAGGGGGTGGGAAGTGGGAGAGCAGACGAGGCGGGGGGAGAAGAACCCTCAGCGTCGAGAAGGGCCTTGGCTTCTGCGAGAACGCGGACCACCTCGGCCATGGGGGGACGGCTCTTGGGCTGCGTGCGCACGCAGCGGTAAGCGAGGTCAGCCACCTTCATGAGGCTCTGCATGTGCCGATCCACATCGAGAGTCGGAGCCACAATGGGGCGAATCTGCCCCGACTTGAGGAACGGCTCCGTCTGGAGAAGGGGAGGGGGAAAAGGCGGGGGAGGTGGGGGAGAGGTTGGGACACGCAGCAGTACTTGAAGTCAGCCACCTTCATGAGGCTCTGCATGTGCCGATCCACGCCGAGCATGGGAGCCATAATGGGGCGGATCTGACCCGACTTGAGAAACGGCTCCGTCTGAAGATGTGGGTAGGGAACATGGGGAGGGGGGGAAGGGGTGTAAATAACAGGGTTACAGGTGACACAGATCTACGTCAAGCAAGGAACCACAATAGGGCGGACTTAATGGCTTAGTCACTCCCTTGCCATTTCGCCCACCCACTCACCCATTCTACCAGGTTAAACGTGACTCCCCCCCATTCTGCCAGATGGGCAGGCGGCCTGAGAGCAGCTCCAAAGCACACCTGAGCCGCTGCACTACCTCTCATTCAACCATTCAACCAGAAGGAGTGTGGAGAGGACTCACCCACTCCACCAGGTTAATCAGGCTTTCGCCCCCGTTCTGCAGGCCTGAAGCGTCGTCCTCCTGCCAGATGGGCAGGCGGCCTGTGAGGAGCTCCAGCAGCACGACCCCGAAGCTAAACACGTCGCTCTTGTCTGTGAGGTGCTGCTTCGTGTAGTACATGGGGTCCAGGTAGCCTGGTGTGTGGGGGGGGAGGGAGGGGCAGGGAGAGAAGAGAGGAGAACGAGAGGTCAAGAGCGGTGTAGAGTGGTGCAGGGATGGGCAAGCTAAACACGTCACTCTTATCTGTGAGGTGCTGCTTCGTTTAGTACATGGGGTCCAGGTAGCCTGGAAGGGGTGTGGAGGAGAAACAGGTGAAGAGAGAGAAGAAAGCAGTGAAGAGTGGTGAAGAGCGGTGCAGGGATGGGAGCTCCAGCAACACCATCCCGAAGCTGAACACGTTGCTTTTGTCCGGCAGGTGCTGCTACGTGTAGAACACGGGGTCCAGGTAGCCTAACGAGTTGGGAGGATGGATTTCGAGGGATAAGAGGGTGGTTAGATACCAGAGGAAGCAGTGCGGCTCTTGTCCATCAGGTGCTGCTTCGCGTAATACATGGGGTCCAGATAGCCTGGCATATGGCAACTTGAAATCATTTTTACGAATTCTCAGAAGTGATTTCATGGGGTTTAGGCAGCCTGGCATATGGCAACTCCTGAGGCGCCTCAAAAGTCCTAAGGCCTGACAGTGTGAAAGAACTCACCAAGGGTGCCCTTGACACGCGTGCTGATGTGGCTCATGGCGGATTTCTCCTCCACGCCCATGCCCATGGCGGCTGGGGTCTTCTTGCCCAGCTTGGAGAGTGAGTGAGGGAACCTTGAATGTTAAACAAAACCATCAAGAGAGGTAATCCGGGCTGGACTCACCGAGGGTGCCCTTGACGCGCGTGCTGATGTGGCTCTTATCTGATTTCTCCTCCACGCCCATGCCCATGGCGGCGGGGGTTTTCTTGCCCAGCTTGGAGAGGCCAAAATCGGCGACCTTGGCGTTGAAGGCATAGTCGAGCAGAATGTTGGACGTCTTGATGTCACTGCGAGTGGTGCAGATGGGTTGGGATGGGTTGGATAGGGGTGGGGTATGGTGTGTGAGTGAGGCACAGGGTCTGCAGCGAGGGAGGGAGAGGGGCGCCTCTTTCTTGCAGAGCTTGGAGAGACCAAAGTCAGCCACCTTGGCGTTGAACAATAGTCAAGGAGAATGTTGGACGCCTTGATGTCACTGCGAGGGGTTCGAAGGGGCTTAGATGGGTTGTGACGAGTTGAGATTGGTTGAAATGGACAGGATAGCGGTTGGCAGACAACCCAGCATAGTTGGGAACACAGGAGACAGATCGGGACACAGAAGCTAGCCATTGCGGCAGACTCACCGGTGGATGACGGAGGGCGAGGCACCGTTGTGCAGGTACTCAAGGCCCTTGGCGGCAGTGGTGGCGATGCGCAGGCGGCGCTCCCAGGAGAGGGACTTCACCCTCACCACGTCTGTACGTGCGTGTTTGGGAAGAAAGTGGGGGAGAGAAAGAAGGGGATAAGGAAGAGCGACACTAGTCCTTCTGTCCCTCGCTGAGAGAGGGTAGGGTACACCGGGATCAGCTGGTTGGGGTCCTCATCGCAGTACCAAATCAGGTCTGAAGGAACACTGAAGTACCCTATCAGGTCTGAAGGAACACTGAAGTGCCCTATCAGGTCTGAAGGAACACTGAAGTACCCTTTTCAACTCACAGTGCACTGCACAGGGATGAGACAGCATGCCTCGGAGGTAGTCCTGAAGTGTGCCGTTAGGTGCATACCACCAGAATAAACTGGTTGGGGTCCTCATTGCAGTACCCAATCAGGTCTGAAGGAACACTGAAGTGCCCTATCAGGTCTGAAGGAACACTGAAGTACCCTTTCAACTCACAGTGCACTGCACAGGGATGAGACAGCGTACCTCGGAGGTAGTCCTTGAGGGTGCCGTTGGGCGCATACTCATACACCAGGATGAGCTGGTTGGGGTCCTCATCGCAGTACCCAATCAGGTTCACCAGGTTCTTATGATGCAGCCGGCTCAGCAGCTGCACTTCAGTCAGAAACTCCGACGCTCCCTGCTGCGATCCCGACCCAAGCCTCTTCACCGCAACCTCAAACCCAGGCACGGCGGGTGCCGAGCCTGCGGCGTCACCTTCGCCTGCCGAGCCTCCGAGCGTGGCTCGGTAGACCTTGCCGAACCCGCCCTGCCCAATGAGGTTCCCCGAGGCGAAATCGTCAGTGGCTCGGCGGAGCTCAGCGAGGGAGAAGATGCGCGCTCCAAACAGGCCGGTTTTGGCTGTGGCTTCGGCATCAAGGTTCTTGAAGGCCTTGTGCTTGTCGTCTGGTGGGATGGGGAGAGGAAGGGGGAAGGAGGGGAAAGGGGATAATTAAGGGTCCGGGTGTGGAGCTCCACGAGGGTGAAGATGCGGGCGCCGAACAGGCCGGTTTTGGCTGTGGCTTCGGCGTCGAGATTCTTGAATGCCTTGTGCTTGTCGTCTGGAGTGATGGGAGGGGAAGGGAGGGGGGGAAAGAAGGGAAAGGAGATAATAACCAAGGGTCAGGGTGTGGAGCTGAGCGAGGGTGAAGATGCGGGCGCCGAACAGGCCGGTTTTGGCTGTGGCTTCGGCGTCGAGATTCTTGAATGCCTTGTGCTTGTCGTCTGGAGTGATGGGAGGGGAAGGGAGGGGGGGAAAGAAGGGAAAGGAGATAATAACCAAGGGTCAGGGTGTGGAGCTAAGCGAGGGTGAAGATGCGGGCGCCGAACAGGCCGGTCTAGGCTGTGGCTTCGGCGTCGAGATTCTTGAATACCTTGTGCTTGTCGTCTGGAGTGATGGGAGGGGAAGGGAGGGGGGGAAAGAAGGGAAAGGAGATAATAACCAAGGGTCAGGGTGTGGAGCTAAGCGAGGGTGAAGATGCGGGCGTTGAAGAGGACAGTCTTGGCTGTGGCTTCGGCGTCGAGATTCTTGAATGCCTTGTGCTTGTCGTCTGGTGTTTCGGGGGGAGAAATGGGAAGGGGGAAGGAGGGGGTCAGTCAGTTGGGATTTACAAATTAGCGAGGGAGAAGATGCACGCGCCGAACAGGCCGGTTTGAAAACAGAACAAGATAGCTCTAGTGGAAAGAAATGAAAAAAGAACGAAAATTGGGCAGACAGAAGGGTCTACAGAATTCTGCACCGACTGACCTGCAGCCGTGGAGCCGAATTTGCCAGAGATGAGAGCCAGGATTCCACTGTCGAAGAAAGCACCCCCAGTACCACCATCAGCACCAACCAACACCCCAGCATCAGCACTCCCACCATCGCAACACTAGCCGAAGAACCAGCAGAGGAGAACCAAAACACTAGCCAACCACTGACCTGCTGCCAAAGACCCGAATTTCCCAGAGATGAGGGCCAAGATTCCACTGTCGGAGAAAGCACCACCACCAAAACCACCATCAGCACCACCAGAGGCGCTCTTGGACTTGGCTGAAGCGATGCCGTCATAATAGCCTATCTCTGCTGCTGCGGCTGGAGTGCTTCGTACCTGCTGCTGTGGAGCTGAATTTCCCCGAGATGAGAGCCAGGATTCCACTGTCGGAGAAATCGCCCCCACCGAAGCCCCCATCAGAGGCGCTCTTAGACTTGGCTGAAGCCGTGCCGTCGTAGTAGCCAGCCTCTGCTGCTGCGGCTGCTGCTGTCTTCTGCGGCTAACAGGTTCTTACCTGCTGCTGCGGCTGGAGTGCCTCTTACCTGCTGCTGAGGAGCCGAATTTGCCAGAGATGAGAGCCAGGATCCCACTGTCCGAGAAAGCACCACCACCAAAACCCCTATCAACACCCCCAGAGGCACTCTTTGACTTGGCTGAAGCAGTGCCGTCATAATAGCCTGCCTCTGCTGCTGCGGCTTCTGCGGCTGCTGCTGCTGCTGCAATGCATGCTAACCTGCCTGCTGTGGTAGAATTCGGAAAACAAAAACTACTGACCTGCAGCAGAAGAGCCGAATTTGCCAGAGATGAGAGCCAGGATTCCACTGTCGGAGAAAGCACCGCCACCGAACCCCCCATCAGCACCCCCAGAGGCACTCTTTGACTTGGATGAAGCCGTGCCGTCGTAGTAGCCTGCCTCTGCTGCTGCGGCTGCTGCTGCGATGCGCGCCTGCCTGTTGCGGTAGTGTGTGCGGAGGACGATGAGGGTGGCGAGCGAGGCGAGGAGGAAAATGATGATGCCCATGCCCACAGCTATGCCGATGCCTAGCGCCTGTGGGAGGGAAGGAGAGGGGAGAGGGGCGTATAGGGTTGAATGGGTGAGCCTGCATCCTTGTGCCTGCCTGTTGCGGTAGTGTGTGCGGAGGATGATGCAGGTGGCGAGCGAGGCGAGGAGGAAAATGATGATGCCCATGCCCACCGCTATGCCGATGCCTAGCGCCTGTGGGAGGGGAGTGGGGGAGAGGGGAGGAGGGAGAAGGAAGAGATGGTGTATTTGGAGTCGGCTCAAGAGGCGAGGAGGAAGATGATGATGCCCATGCCCACCGCTATACCGATGCCTAGCGCCTGTGGGAGGGAAGGAGAGGGGAGAGAGGGGGGTATAGGGTTGAATGGGTGAGCCTGCATCCTTGTGCCTGCCTGTTGCGGTAGTGTGTGCGGAGGATGATGCAGGTGGCGAGCGAGGCGAGGAGGAAAATGATGATCCCCATGCCCACCGCTATGCCAATGCCTAGCGCCTGTGGGAGAAAAGAGAGGGGAGAGAGGGGGTAATGGTGTGTTTAGAGTTGGCTCAAGAGGCGAGGAGGAAAATGATAGTCCTATGCCGATGCCAAGTGCCTGTGGGAGGGAGGGCAATGGAGAGAAGAGAGGGGAGAGAGGGGGTAATGGTGTGTTTAGAGTTGGCTCAAGAGGCGAGGAGGAAAATGATGGTCCTATGCCGATGCCAAGTGCCTGTGGGAGGGAGGGCAAGGGAGAGGGGGTAATGGTGTGTTTAGAGTTGGCTCAAGAGGCAAGGAGGAAGATGATGATGGTCCCCATGCCCACTGCTATTCCAATCCCTAGCGCCTGTGGGAGGGGAATGGGGGGGATAAGGTGACGGAGTGAAGTGGGGGTATGAGTGGGGGAAGAAGATCAAAGATAAGGGAGAGAGATGAAAGGCTAAGAAAAAATATTGGAGCCAGCTTTTGAGAATTCTCCAAAAGGGAGGGAAAGGGAGAAGGCACAGGGGGACCCAGGGAACAAATAGAGCATGAGTGGTGGTGGGGTGATTGCAGCAAGAACAAATAGAGCCGGGGGAAGGGAGGGGGCCGAGCAGCAGCGAGGGGAGCGGTGAACAGGACTCTCTAGGGTGAGCGAAGAGGAATGAGAAGGGACTTACAGCAGAAGAAGACTCGGAGGAGGCGGAAGCGGCGGTGGTGTCAACAGCAGCAAAGGGAGCGGGAGGAGGGAGGGGCTTGGCGGCAGATAGGAGCGCTGCCTGGTTGGCTGGGTCGGTGGGAATCACTCGGAAGAGCTCAAGCGTGCTTATGAACACGTTGCTGTTGGGGAGGGCGGAGGGGGTGGAAGGGGAACAATTGAGAGGGGGAAAGAGGAGAGCTGTCTGGTTTGCTGGAATGGATGAGGAGGAGGATGACTTGGAAGAGCTCGCGCGTATGCTGGTTGGTTGGCGGAGGGTGCCCTCCCCCCTCTCCCAGAGCTCGCACGTCATCGAACATGTTGCACTGGGAGAGGGGGGAGGGCGCAGGTCGGGTCAATGAGAATTCGCGATCCAAAGAAACAGAGGCAGTCATTGGCAGCGTGAGAAAAGAGGCGACGAGGCCTTGAAGCTCTTACTTGTGGAGGGAGTTGGTGGAGGTGTTGAGGAAAATGTTCATGTAGCCCGAGGGACCAGAAACGATTCCTAAGGTGGCAGGGTTGCAAGGCTCTCTGTTTGTGAGGCGCCTCAGAGGCAGAGCTGCGCTGCAAGACTCACTTGTGCAGGGCGTTGGTGGAGGTGTTGAGGAAAATGTTCATGTAGCCCGAGGGACCAGACACAGCTGTTGATGAGGAGGGGGGGGAAGCGGGAAGGAGAGGGGAAGGAGGAGGAGTGGGAGGGAAGGGAGGGGGCACTTATGGTCCTGTAATGGCACTCATGAGCAGATGTCCACGAAGCCCGCGGAACGGGGAGAAGGTATAGGGATAGAGGAGGAAAATATGGGAGGAGACAAGAAGAGGGCAAGAGAGGAAAATATGGGAGGAGAAAAGAAGAGGGCAAGAGAGGAAAATATGGGAGGAGAAAAGAAGAGGGCAAGAGAGGAAAATATGGGAGGAGAAAAGAAGAGGGCAAGAGAGGAAAATATGGGAGGAGAAAAGAAGAGGGCAAGAGAGGAAAATATGGGAGGAGAAAAGAAGAGGGCAAGAGAGGAAAATACGGGAGGAGAAAAGAAGAGGGCAAGAGAGGAAAATCGAGAGGGGTAGGGGGAGGAGCATCGGCAGGGATGTGTTGAGACAGATGCTCATGTAGCGTGAGGGACCAGACACAGCTGGCAGGTGAGGAATGCACAGGCAGGGAGAAAAGAAAGGAAGAAAGAAAGAAAGAACGAAAAAAAAAAGGATAGAGAAACGAGGTGAGTGAATTGGAAAAAGCCAACTGACCCCTGAGTGTGACGGTGTAGGGCACACCAACGCCCGCCACTGTGGCCAGATCGAGCTCCTTGAGCATGAGCTCACCATCCACATAGAAATCCAGCAGACGAGCCGTCTGTGCATACAGGGGGAGGGGGAGGGGGAGGGGGAGGGGGGAGCGGAGGAGGGAGTGGGGGAGGAAAGTTTTGAGTCGACTCAAAACTGGGAGGAAAGGGGTGAGTGGCCAGATCCAGCTCCTTGAGCATGAGCTCGCCGTCCACATAGAAATACAGCAGACGGGCCGTCTGCATGTGTGCGGGGGAGGAAGGGAGAGGGGTTTGGAGTAGTCCTTGAGTGAGACTGAGGAGTGAAGGGGGGAGGTCAAGCTCCTTAATCAGGAGCTCGCTGTCCACATAGAAATCCAGCAGACGGGCAGCGTGGGTAGAGCAGGTGGAGGAAAAGCGAAAACAAACAAACATTGAGAAAAACAGTGAGCGCAGCAGAGAGAAACAAGAGCAAAAGGGGGGGGGGGGGGGGGGGGGGGAGAGGGAAGGAAAGAGCGAGCGAAAAGGGAGGAGTTTCAAGGAGAGAGGAGAAAGAGCAGGGACGGAGAGAGGGAGAGAGGAAAACTTCTGAGTCAACTCAAAAGTCACCAGAGTTGCGAGGAGAGAATGTTTTTTGAGAATTCTCAAGAAACAGCAGGGACGGAGAGAGGGAGAGGGGAAGCGAGTGGGAGAGCGGTAAGGTGAAAGATAGAGAACAGGGAGGATAGCAAGGGGGGGAACAAGGAGGTACAAGGAGGAGGAACAAGGAGGAGGAACAAGGCACTCACATAGTGATACCAGAGCTCCTCGAAGCCCAGGTCAATGCGGTAGGCGGTGTTTGGGTCGACGGGGAGAAAGAGGGACAAGAGGGAGGGCGAGGGGGAACATGATGGACATGGCACTCACATAGTAGTACCAGCGTTCCTCGAAGCCCAGGTCGATGCGGTAGGTGGTGTTGGGATCGACGGGGAGAGGTGAAGAGAGCGAGAGGGGAAACAACCAGCGAGGGAGAGAGGGAGAGGGAGAGGGGACGCAGTGAGGGAGAATGGAAAGTGAAAGGTAGAGAACAGGGGGGGGGGAGCGACGGCACTCACATAGTAGTACCAGAGCTCCTCAAAGCCCAGGTCGATGCGATAGGCGGTGTTGGGATCAACGGGGAGGGAGAAGTTGAGGAATGTGTTGAAGTTGTAGCCCCCATAGCTGGAATACTCCACTGAGTGCAGCCCCGCCTGTAGGGGGATGGAGTTAGAGGCAAGGGGGTGACAGGGGGTGGACAATGGGAGCACGGGGAGGGAGAAGTTGAGGAATGTGTTGAAGTTGCAGCCCCCATAGCTGGAATACTCCACTGAGTGCAGCCCCGCCAGAAGGGGGATGGAGTTAGAGGTAAGGGGGTGACAGGGGGTGGACAATGGGAGCACGGGGAGGGAGAAGTTGAGGAATGTGTTGAAGTTGTAGCCCCCATAGCTGGAATACTCCACTGAGTGCAACCCCGCCTGTAGAGGGGATGAATTGAAACGTTGAGCAGAGGTGAGAGAGGAAACGTTAAGCAGAGAAATGATATTAGAGGTCCCTGTGCGATAAAAAACTGAGGGACAACAGAAGTTTTGGGGGTAGGGGGGTATGTCACGGCAATTGTTTGGGGGAATGAAGCTCACGGTGGTGAGGTCGAGGGGGAGCATGAAGGGTAGCTTGTCGGCGCTGTCCACAATCTAAGCCACTGGTAGGGCGCTGACTGGGTGTTTGCCCACTGCCCACGCCCTTCCTTCCCTATCACCCTTGGGCAAGCACTACGCCTTAAGGCTCACAATTTCGGGATTAGAAAAGCTCACCGTGGTGAGATCAAGGGGGAACATGAAGGGCGGCTTGTCGGCGTTGTCGAGGGTCTGCGGCCACGTGACGGGCGCTGATTCGGTTCTGTTGTAGCGGCGTGACCCAGGGTCCTTGGGCGTGTAGAGGTCGGAGGGCAGCAGATTCCAGATGCGCTGGGTGAGGTCCGTGATGGGGAGGAAGAGCCCACAGCCAAAGCGGTAGTCCGTGGCTGGAAGGGACAAGGGAGAAAGAGGGGGTGAAGAGAAGGAATGGGGAAGTGCAGGTAGAAAAATAATGTGAGGGAGGGGAGGTGCCACTGGTAGGGCGCTGATTCGGTATTGTTGTGGCAGTGTGTGTGACTGGGGGTCCTTGGGCGCGTAGAGGCCGGAGGGTAGGAGGTCGGAGGGTAGGAGCTCGGAGGGTAGGAGGTTCCAGATGCACTGGGTGAGGTCCGTGATGGGGAGGTACAGGCCGCATCCAAAGCGGTAATCCGTGGCTGGAAGGGGCAAGGGAGGGAGGGAGAGATAGGTAGAGAACGGGAGCGAATGGTGAGGGCGAATGAGGGCGAACAGAAGGTGAAACAACAAGGTGAGGGAAAGAGATAGGATGAGGGAGGGAGAGGGGCCACTGGAGGGGCGCTGAGAGCATGTTGTTGTAGCGGCGTGATTGGGGGTCCTTGAGCTTGTAAAGGTCGCTGGGTAGGAGGTTCCAGATGCGCTGGGTGAGGTCGGTGATGGGGGGAGGTACAGGCCGCATCCAAAGCGGTAGTCCGTGGCTGGAGGGAGAGGGGGAGAGGAGGGAACGGGAAGAGCAGCACGCAAAAGAGCAGGAGCGAGGGACAGTGAGGGCGGGAGATTGAGGGGGCGAGAGGCACTGCAGGGGCGCTGCTTCGGTGTTGTTGTAGCGCCCCTGCAGTGCCTCTAGCAGCGTGACCCGGGGTCCTTGGGAGTGTAGAGGCCGGACGGTAGGAGATTCCAGATTCGCTGGGTGAAGTCGGTGATTGGGAGGAAGAGATTACAGCCGAAGCGGTAATTGGTTGCTGGAGGGAGGGACAAAGAGAGGGAGGGAGAGAGAGGGAGAGAACGGAGAACTGTGAGGTTGGAGAGTAGGAGATTCCAGATTCGCTGAGTGAGATCCGTTTTGGGGAGGAAGAGACCACAACCGAAGCAGAGATCTGCGGCTGGAGAGGAGGTCAGAGTGAGTGAGGGATAGAGAGGGCGGGAGAGAGAAATGGTAAGCAAGCAGCAAGTGAAACCCAGCAGATTCCGGATGCACCGAGCCAGGGACTCCAGCGGAAGGGAGAGGAGGACAAAGGAGGGGTGCGAATGAAACACTTGACCCAGGCACGGCAAGTGACGTACCCATGATGCGAGACGTGGCAGTGGGGGCGGAGAGGTTGTACATGCCAGGGGTCAGAGGCACCACCTGTAGGGGAGGGGATGGCAGGGGCATAGAGGCAGGCAGAGGAGGGGGTATGTGGGGTGCGGGTGAGGTGGAGGCATGGGGCATGCGTGGTGGCATGGGGCATGCGTGGAGGCATGGGGCATGCGTGGTGGCATGGCATTGATCATAGGCTTGCCAATCTCCCCACGGATTGATGCAATATTGGAACAAACCCGTTTGTCACGGACACTGCCGTGCGGTTCTGAGAGGTGCATTGCGGTGCTAAGTCATGCTGAGCAGTGTTGCGAAGTTCTGTGCGGTGCAGAACAAACGCAATATCCACAGAACCGTCCAGCACAGACGCGAAAAACTCCTCCACTCCCACAGCGCGGTACCCTGGGGTGTAGTGTGGTGCTGTGCGGTGGTGTGTGGTGGTGTGCGGTGATGTGCGGTGCAGTTCTCACCGCAATAGTACTGATCATAGGCTCGCCAATCTCGCCCCTTATAAACGCAACATCCACAGAACCATCCAGCACTGGCACGACGAATTCCTCCACTCGCACAGCGCGGTAGCCTGAGGTGCTGCACGGTGCTGTGCGGTGGTGTGCGGTGCAACACTCACCGCGATAGCACTGATCATGGGCTCGCCAATCTCGCCCCGGATAAACGCAATATCCACAGAACCGTCCAGCACAGGCACGACAAACTCCTCCACTCGCACAGTGCCACGTGGCACGCTGTAGTTGGTCAGCACGGGCGCGCCCTCCACTGCCACGTGGAAGCGGCGCAGCTTGGCTGTCGTGTAGATAATTTCAGCAAAGTACAGACGGACGAACACGTTGGTGGGAGGGCCGGGGACCTGGAAGGAGGTCAGAGAGTGGGGGGTAACAGTGGGAAAGCAGTAAGGGAGAAGGAGGAAACGGATTCGCATTGAGTTGCTTGGATGGAAGCGCTGCAGCTTGGCTGACATGACATGCACAGTACAAGCTGATCACAAGCTTGGCTGATCTCAGCAAAGCACAGGCGGAGGAACACATTGGTGGGTGGGTGGGCGGGCAGTTTTTGAGAATTCTCAAAAACCGGCCAGTGACCTTGTAGGAAACAAGGTCATCAGCAGAGCGACCTTATACTTGCAGTTCGTGAAGAGAACCCTGAGCAGCAATCAGTGGCACAGCGTAAGTAGAAGTAAAGCACCATCTCAAACACGCGTGCATCCATCCCACCTTATCGTACCCCCTCACAACACACAGCATGCATGCAGCACACGGAGCAGCTTCAGCCAGGCAGCCAGCCGGGCTCTTGTGGGACGAGAGACAACGACCAGCAGCACTTACCGGCACAGAGTAGGTGGAGCCATTGGGAGCGAGCTCATCAAAGTACCCAACGTGGTCATACCCCGCCAGAGCACACAGGGTGCAGCAAGCAACCAGAGTAGGTGCAGCAAGCAACCCCACCACCAGGCCACCAGGCAGCACTCACCGGCACAGAGTAGGTGGAGACGTTGGGAGCGAGGTCATCAAAGTACCGCACCGTCTCAAACACCCGTGCATCCACTCCCGGAGGCGTCTTCAGCACCCCTGTCTCGCTAAACTCCACCTTCCCGTTCCCCATCCTGCCCGCCGCCACCGTCCCATTCATGGTCGTCTTGATCACGCCTGCCCGGAAACTCCTCCCGAACCTGCCCGAAAAGGTATCCGCCTCCCAGGTGTAAAGAGGGTTTCTTAGAGACTGGTTGCTGCCGCAGTTGATGTAGGTGCCTTGCATGAAAGAGACGACCGGAGGGGGTGGCGGCGGGGGCGGCGGGGACGGCGGAACATTCCGCTGAAACGCCGCCTCCCCGGGTTTCACTGGGTTGCCGTATTCGTCCGTTCCCGGATCAACAGGGGGTGAATTAGCAGAGACGGGAGGAGCAGGCGCGGAGGGTGGTGAGCGAATGGCAGGTAGGCCAATGGAAGGTGAGTTAACAGAAGGTGAGTAGACAGGTGCGTAGGTGGCTGGAGCGTCTTTGCCTGTGACGGGCGGCGGGACGGCCGTTGGCTGGTCCTGCAGCGACCTGTGGCGTCGTGCCACGTGGCTGCCTGAGAGTGGGCGTCCGTCCTGGGCGCCGTAAAGGGCGGAGGAGGTGGGAAGGATGAGATCGTTGAGAAACCCGAAGCCGATACCAACGGAACCAGCACCACCATCAGCACTGGCAGCGGTGGCAGCGGGAAAGGCGGAGGGAGTGAGGGAGAGCAGGAGGAGGAGGAGCAGGGGGGATAGAGGCAAGGTGGAGATTAACTTGCGACGGCACCCAGAAGTCGCCATGGCGTTCTAGCTCGTTCCGTGCGCAGACTCGAATCTATTTGTGGGACGGAAAACACGCGTTGCGGAGAAGAGAGGGGAAGCGGGTTCCTATAGAGACTCGGACTGAGTGCCTCTCGTGACTCGCACGATCCCTGACAGTCGTTTCTGTAGGCCCTCCGGCTGAAAACGACTGCTGCTGCGATGAAACGACCACCTAAAATGGCGCGCTGCTGTTGGGATTGAGTACATTAAGTACTTGTCGCTCCCCTTGTCTCTGGCAGCGCAGTCGAGCAAGAGACTAGCAGGGATGAACGGGATCTCGCAGCCGTTGTACAGTTGTCCCCCCTCTCAGGACGATGCGAGTTGCTTATAACCTCTCCCTTTCCTAGTAACCTCGCCCTCCCAGGACGATGCGAGTTGCTTTTCCCGTCATCCTCTAACACGTCACCCTTTACCTGCATCCTCTCCTCCTCTCCTAGAACCTCCGCATCTCCTGCTCCCGATAACTGTACTTTTTCTTCCCCCTGTCTCTTACAGTGCCCTGTACAAGCGCAGCGCCTGCTTCGGCTTCTCCTTTCCTCCTCCGCCGACCCTCCCCTGCTTCGGATTGAGCTGCTAAGAGCTGTTTCGAAACGAGCTGTTTCGTGCGATTCGGGTCGCAGCACTGCTGTTGCCTTGCCAATGCATCAGCTGCCCGAACAGCCTCGCTTTTCCGAGCCGCAAACGTTAATGCAGATGTTTCTAAGCAGATGTAGCGATTGCTTTCCAAAGCGTTGACTCGTAGGTCGTTGATAGTAGCAGCATGTACAGAGAAAATGGCAGTAGCGTTACAGGTCAATGAATCCTCCATACGCGAGGAAGCTGTACGTACACTAGCGCAAGATGCGGCTCTTGAGAGGAGATGAAACGGCCCTATCGAGGCGCGCTGCGAAGCTTTTCATCCGCAAGCCCTAACCGCGGCATCGGAATTTCGCCTGACTCTGAACTTTCGTAACCTCGATTCACATGAGAATATGAAACGGCCCTATCGATGCCTGTTGAAACTCGCAGCAACCGCTGTTCGCTCGTTCACGGGATTCCTAAGACCCTTTCGTGTGTATCGTCAAACGGCGACGCGACCTGGCCGTTCGTAATACCCTGTCGCAATGCTGCTTGCCTGCTCGACCACTTGTCTTCTTGTTAGATTGCGTCCTCCCCGGTACTGCCAATTCAGTCTGTTTCAGGGACCCTCCGCCGTTCGCGTTTGTCTCTTTCGCGGCCCGTACTCGATTCTGCAGAATAAGCTGCAACGCGGATTTGCTTATTAGCAACACCGCACATTCGCTGCAAGGATTGGCGGAAAGAGCAATCATCACGCTGCATTCTCTGCGCGATACCAGTCAGATCCTTTTGAATCGACCACTATGCTCGGTTCCCCCCACCCCCACACCAGCGATTCTTCTGTCGCGCACACCCCGCGCTACATCGGCTGCGTCGCGGAGGCGGTTAGGAAGATGAACCGGCACTAAGTCGAAAACGTTCTAAATAGTCTCTCACCTGACAGAAAACTCCACCTATAATTCTCTGAATTCATGCTTCCAAGTCAAGCTGGAGATGTCAAGGGCTGAACGGAAGTGTGATTGTGAAAGTTGGTTTGGGGGCACCGGTTTGAGGGATCGAACGGTTGGGATAGGTGCGGATCCAGGTAACTGATTTTTTTTTGGTTTGGTTGGATAATCGAACGGCTCACAGAATGTAATGCGGTTTGTGAGCAGGGCTGTCGCTTGGTCTGGGCCTAAACCTTACGAAGCTGAGCTGGCCCGAAACAAGCCCTGAAGCATCCGGACAGCAGTCGAATCTAGCCCTTAAACTCAGGCCATTGGGATTCCTGCCCTGAGCCACATGCGCAAGAAAGCTAAGTAACTCTAGGTACATACTCTACCGATCAGAGCACGCTGGAGAGGTTGAGTAGAGAGGTTTGGGAGGAAGAGAAGTGGGACACGTGCACGGTCGAAGGTCAGGAAGAAGGGGGGGAATGGGGGGGGGGAGGGAAGAGCAGGTACACGGGAAATCCGGGGAAGGCTCCAAACCTGTCCGTTAGGAATACGGACCAGGAAAAAACCAGCCCTGAAAATCTCTGAGCTGAGTTGAAACGAACCCTGAATTCTCAGGGGAAACGGGCAAATGCCCGTGAATCGACAAGCCTGTTTGTGAGGCATGCCTCCACCGCAGAAGAACCTCCACCACAGAAGAGCCTCTCCACCACAGAAGAGCCTCTCCACCACAGGCCGTTCCATCTCCTTGTGACTGCGCTGTGAATCAGCGATGTTCAAACCGTTCCATCTCCGTTAGAAATCGGATGGAAGATGAATCGTCATGCAGCTAGCTGCTCCGTTACAGATCACCTATAGCAGAGCACTACCTTACTTCGAGTGTAGAAATTATCGAGAGACCACAAAAGCTCTTTGAGTGACCTGCTTTCACTTCTAAAGTAGTTTTATATTGAATCCTTTGAAAGCACGACTATCTACAATTAAGTAGAGTGTTGTTTCTTGTAAACAATCACTCCCCATTGGGTTTGAGATTCGTCAGTCAAGGATTTTACTAAGTTTCACTGGCTATCACGGCTACTTTTGGAAAAAGACAAAAGCTACCCTAAGAGGGGAAAAGCAAAGCGGTGTTCATCTTAACAGTACGATCCATGAGGATCTATCAAAAGAGCAGAAAAAACAGCAGCGAAAGAATATTAGTGTTTTTTCTTCTTCTAAATATGCACAAAACCTTCTGACCCTAAAAATCATGCTAAGGCTGGCTTCTCAGGCCACCAGTCCAGCCAAAAGTACGAATCAAAACTCGACCCTGACGTCCCCGTTACTGTAGCAGGCCCTGCCACATCAGCATCATCGTCACTTGTCATCGACTCCACTGACCAATCGTCTCCCTCCTCCTCCTCCCCTTCACCTGATCCTTCCCCTACAACTCCCACTACCTCCCCACCATCAACATAGTTACTACTACCACCACAACCATCAGCCCTTCCTCCTCCTGTCGTTCCTCCCCCTGCCGTTCCTCCTCTTGCCCGTCCCCCAGAGCTGGTCCCAAGCCAGGTATTCACATCGATAGAAAGGGAGACGTTCGGATTCCACCGCCTAGCACCAGTCACCCTACAGCTGGCACTGCGCCCAAACCTGCTGTCAGCAGCTAGTAACCCCACGCCACCACTGCTGTTACGGTTACTACTGCTGCTGCAGGTGGTGGTGGTGGTGGATTCGCCTCCTCTGCCTCCCCTCTTTATAAGCACGGGGTCCCGGTCCTCGGACCACGGGTGCAGGGTCGGGAGCACGCGCATGGTTCGGAGCACGTCGGTTATAGTCACAACGCCTTCAAGCACAGGCCCGGAACAGTGCAGACTTGGACTTGAGGGGGGTTTGTCGGGAGGTGATACTCGTGGAGCTTCAGACATAGTAGCTGTATTATCCTGAGAAGCTGCCTCGTTACAAGGTGATTCGTTATTGGAAGGAGGAGGAGGAGGGAGGGGGTGGACTGGAGGGGGTTTGACCACCCAGACTCGGTGCACATGGTGGGAGACTAGCAGGGAGAGCACATGACGCAGAGAGCTGGCACTGTGAGGGGGGGGGGGGGCAGGGAAGACAGGGATAAAGAAGGGTGTGGATGGGTTGAAAGGGTGGAGTGGAGGGGGTTTGACCACCCAGACTCGGTGCACATGGTGGGAGACTAGCAGGGAGAGCACATGACGCAGAGAGCTGGCACTGTGTTGGGGTGTGGAGAGGGGAAAAGGGAGAGGGGAGCAGGTGAGCCGGAGCGAGAGCATGTGTGAGGCAGGACGGAGGGGGTTTGACCACCCATACTCGGTGGTAGACTAGCAGGGACAGCACATGACGCAGAGAAGAGGCACTGGAAAAAGGGGGACAGGGAAGAGGGTAAGTGCAGTGCAGAGGGGTGTGGATGGGTTGAGAGCGGTTAAGCAGGTGGTGGTCAGATCAGACCACCCAAATGTGATGCGCCTTCAAAATGCGCCTCAAGAATTAGGTGCCCGAAAAATAGGACCAGAACGAATTCTTTCCCCTTCCCATCTGCCTTTGAGAATTCTCAAAATGCGCCTCAAGAATTAGGTGCCCGAAAAATAGGACCAGAACGAATTCTTTCCCCTTCCCATCTGCCTTTGAGAATTCTCAAAATGCGACTCAAGAATGAGGTGCCTGAAAGAATGAGGTGCCTAAAAGAATAGGACCAGAACGCATCATTTCCCCTTCCCATGTGCGTCACATACGCACCTGGTGCATGTCACCACTTCCGAGTCGACACAAAAGCTGATTTTTGAGTCGACACAAAAGCTGATTTTTGAGTCGACTCAAAAGCTGATTATTGAGTCGACACAAAAGCTGATTTTTGAGTCGACTCAAAAGCTGATTTTTGAGTAAACTCAAAAGCTGATTCTTGAGTCGACTCAAAAGCTGATTCTTGAGTCGACACAAAAGCTGATGTTTGAGTCGACTCAAAAGCTGATTTTTGAGTCGACACAAAAGCTGACTTTTGAGTCGACTCAAAAGCTGATTTTTGAGTCGACTCAAAAGCTGATTTTTGAGTCGACACAAAAGTCTTTCCCCTTCCCATGTGCCTCACAGACGGACCTGGTGCATGTCACCACTTCCGAGTCGACACAAAAGCTGATTTTTGAGTCGACACAAAAGCTGATTTTTGAGACGACTCAAAAGATGATTTTTGAGTCGACACAAAAGCTGATTTTTGAGTCGACTCAAAAGCTGATTTTTGAGTCAACTCAAAAGCTGATTCTTGAGTCGACTCAAAAGCTGATTCTTGAGTCGACACAAAAGCTGATGTTTGAGTCGACTCAAAAGCTGATTTTTGAGTCGACACAAAAGCTGATGTTTGAGTCGACTCAAAAGCTGATTTTTGAGTCGACACAAAAGCTGACTTTTGAGTCGACTCAAAAGCTGATTTTTGAGTCGACTCAAAAGCTGATTTTTGAGTCGACACAAAAGTCTTTCCCCTTCCCATGTGCCTCACAGACGCACCTGGTGCATGTCACCTCTTCTGCTACAACTGCTGGCCTCACTTCTGCAGCTGCTGACCTCACTGCTGTAGCTGCTGGCGCCACTGCCACATCTGGTGACGCCCCTGCTATAGCTGGTGCATGCTTCTCTGCTGCTGCATTTCCAGCTGCCTTTCGTTTGGCGGAGAGAAAATCAGCTACGGTGGTGGTGGGCGCGAGGGAGAGCAGAGTACCAACCTCCACCTGGCGAAATGGGTATCGCAAGGAAAGGAGGTAGGTAGTGATGCGATTCATCGCAATTCACAAGGGCATCGGCAGGCAGAGGAGCGAGGTCCTTCCAGCTTTTGAGTCGACTCAAAAGCAGGTCCTTCCAGCCATTTGGGTGGATAAACGTGTGGCTTGGCTAGGTGCTTCAAGAGTGTAAAAGAGTTATTAATATCTCTATTTTTTAAACGAACGGAGTGCCGGCAAGCATACGAAGAGTAACCGAAAAAGAGACAGCCTGGCAACACACCTGCTTGACATCTGATGCTGAGAGAGTGCCTATCAGCACACTGCCACATCCCCCCATGCAACAATGAGTCCTTCCATGTGGGCATCATCGCATGCATGGTCTGACAAACACCCACCTGCTTGACATCTGATGCTGAGAGAGTGCCTATCAGCACACTGCCGCACCCCCCCATGGGCCACTGAGGAAGCACAGCAGAAGCTTCCTGTGCATTCTCATTCCCCCCCTCCTCGTCCTTTTGGTCCCTACCCCCCTCCTCCACCATGACTGCTGGTGGAGCTGGCTTAGGCTGCACCACTGCTACTGCGCTTATCTGTTGCGATTCAGAGGGGTGGGGATGGGCGGAGATGGGTTGACATGGGTGGGGATGGGCGGTGATGGGTTGACATGGGTTGGGATGGGCGGGTGGGGTGGAGGCTTGGGGGGAATAGTTTAACAGGCTGCAGAACTGCCAGTGTGGATGTTTGATCAGTTGGGGAAAGGGGCGAGGAGGGTGGGTGGGGGAGGGGTTCAAGTTCCTGAGGAATTGGGATGTGGAGAGATTTGAGGCGCCCTAATAAAGATTTTTGTGGCGCCTCAGAACTCGTCTGTTGAAGGGCTGGAAGGTGCAAATTAAAGGCTGCACTTCTGTCATTGCACCTATCCGTAGCATGCAGGGGGGGAATGGTGAGTTAGCGGTTCTGAGACCTTGGCGTTTCAAGAACCAAATTAATAGGACGCTCAAGTCTTGGCTGAATTGGGTATAGTTGGTGCTGGATACAATCACTTCACGATCAAGGTACCCAGCTCAACTCAAACATGTTGCATTGCATGCAACAGAGGGAGTGTTTTGAGTCGACTCAAAACACAGCTCAACTCAAACATGTTGCATTGCATGTAACAGAGGGTGGATGTAGAAGCATAAATGTTTGATTCCCACTTGGCAATAACTGATGCCAAAAGTGGTCGATTGCTTCAAATTGGCATGCTTTATCTCATCACGTAGCCTCTGTAACATGCGACGTGAAATAAGTGTGCTTTTGAGACGTCTCAAGAAAGCTCTCATCACATGGCCACTGTCACATTTGACGTGAAATAAGAGTGTGTATTTGAGACGTCTCAAGAAAGAGATCTCACTACATGGCCACTTTCACATGCGCTCACTCACCCAGTCACCCCTCCTATTCGAAACATCTCTCATTCGGAGCCTCCGCTATGACATGGAAATCACTTTTGAGAATTCTCAAAAGTGATTTCCATCTATTCGAAACATCTCTCATTTGGAGCCTCCGCTATGACATGCACTCACCCCTCGGATCCGGAACATGTTAAAAGGTGACTTTTGAGTCGACTCAAAACTCACCCCTCGGATCCGGAACATGTTAAAAGCGTCGAGAAGGGGAGTGGATGGAGTCACCGAGACGACAGAGGGCCAGACCAGCCCAATTTCGTCGATGCTGCAATGCAGGGATGGAGCGAAGAAGGGAATGAGGGAGAAAATAGAACAAAGGAGTTGAAGGCATTGAGAAGAGGAGTGGATGGAGTCACCGAGACGACAGACAGCCAGGCCAGTCCAGTCCAGTCCAGTCCAGTCCAGTCCAGTCCAGTCCAGTCCAGTCCAGTCCAGTCCAGTCCAGTCCAGTCCAGTCCAGTCCAGTCCAGTCCAGTCCAGTCCAGTCCAGTCCAGTCCAGTCCAACATCGTCAATGCTGCACTGCAGGGATTAACGAGGAACATAAGAAAGAGAGCAAATGGATAAAATGGGATACATTTGATGGCCAGACCATACCAATCCAACTGCATTGCTACAGTTTTTACTCATAAAATAACAATGGCCCATACAGGTCTCGAACCTGTGACCTTCGCGTTATTAGCACGACGCTCTAACCAGCTGAGCTAATAGGCCTGTGCACCCAATGTCTAATGTGACACCACTAAAGACTCAAACTGGTCTCATCTTTCCTTCAAGGTACGGAGACGCCCAGCATCCCCTCACAGAAGCAGCACGTGTGAATGTGACTTTCAATGCATCGATTTTTTAGGCGCCTAAAAAAACGCCCAGCATTCCCTCACAGAAGCAGCACGTGACAGGCGTGAATGTGACTCTCTCAATGCAACGCACCTCTTAGCCAGTGCCAGCCCCAGTAGCCCCTCGAGCGTCAGCATGAACACACCAATGTCCATCTGACAGCACACAGTACTCCTCCCTTGTCGTCGATGTTCCCCCCTCCCCTCTTCGGCAGCACTGCATGTAGTCAGCTCAACGTACCTTGTAGCCAGTGCCAGCCCCAGAGGATGAACACACCAATGTCCATCTGACAGCGCACGACACTCCTCCCCTGCCATCCCCCTCCCCTACCCGGCAGCAGCACAGCTATGTAACGGGCTGAATGTTCCTGGTAGTCTGAGCAAAGCCCAGCTGCCCCTCGTGCTTGAGCATGAAAGCTGCAATGCCCATCGGAGGCAGCACTCGTACTCCTACCCTGCCGCACCCCCCCACCCCACCACTCCCAGCAGCCCCTCACAACAGTCACTTCATGGGCTTTGAGTGTGGATCCGACTTACCTCTTGACTTTTGAGTCAACTCAAAAGAGTTGACTTTTGAGTCAACTCAAAAGTCAACCCACCCCACCACTCCCAGCAGCCCCTCACAACAGTCACTTCATGGGCTTTGAGTGTGGATCCGACTTACCTCTTGACTTTTGAGTCAACTCAAAAGTCAACCCACCCCACCACTCCCAGCAGCCCCTCACAACAGTCACTTCATGGGGCTTCAACATGAACGCAGCAATGTCCATCCGACAGCACTCGGTACTCCTCCCCTGCCATGTCACCTTCCTGGCAGCACAGGAAAGGTGGGATTTTGCTCATACCTTTAAGCCAGTGCTAGGCCTTAGCCCCTCGTGTTTGATCATGAACGCAGCAATGTCTATCTGACAGCACTCGGTACTCCTCCCCTTCCATATCTGTCCCCACCTCCTCTCCCCTTCCATGTCTGTCCCCACCTCCTCTCCCCTGCCGTATCTGTCCCCACCTCCTCTCCCCTGCCATATCTGTCCCCACCTCCTCTCCCCTGCCATATCTGTCCCCACCTCCTCTCCCCTGCCATATCTGTCCCCACCTCCTCTCCCCTGCCATATCTGTCCCCACCTCCTCTCCCCTGCCATATCTGTCCCCACCTCCTCTCCCCTGCCATATCTGTCCCCACCTCCTCTCCCCTGCCGTATCTGTCCCCACCTCCTCTCCCCTGCCGTATCTGTCCCCACCTCCTCTCCCCTGCCATGTCTGTCCCCACCTCCTCTCCCCTGCCATATCTGTCCCCACCTCCTCTCCCCTGCCATATCTGTCCCCACCTCCTCACCCCTGCCATAACTGTCCCAACCTCCTCTCCCCTGCCGTCCCTGTCTCCCCCCCTCCCCTGGTGGCACAGCCATGGCAGTGGTCTAATCATACCTCCCAGCTTTAGCAGAAAAGAGAAAGAGGCGACAGAACGTGGGTAGCAAGAAAACGTCTGGCCCATACAGGTCTCGAACCTGTGACCTTCGCGTTATTAGCACGACGCTCTAACCAGCTGAGCTAATAGGCCCGTGTAATGATCGCCCTCCCAACTTCTAATTCAGCAGCACAAGCTCCGACCACACCTTCTAGGCATGGGCATGGGGCCACCTTCTTCATACCTCTTAGCCAGTGCCAGGCCCAGCAGCCCCTCTAGTTTGAGCATCAATGCAGCAATGTCCATCTGAGACAGCACTCGGTACTCCTCCCCTGCCGTCCCCCTCCCCTCCTCCCAACAGCCCCTGACCACAGTCACCCCATGGGCATGAATGGGACTTGACTCAACGCACCTTTTAGCAAGTGCCAAGCCCAGCAGCCCCTCGTGTTTGAGCATGAACGCAGCAATGTCCATCTGAGACAGCACACGGTACTCCTCCCCCGTTGTCCCCCCCTCCACCCCTCCTAGTCGCGACTGCAGCAGCGCAGGCATGGGCATGGCGGTGGTTTTATCGTGGTCGCACGGGCACACGTTAGGAACGAGGGCCCGGTGGAAGCCCCTAGAGCCAAGCAGCTCCATGGCTTGGAGCACCCTGAGAGGGAGGAAGGGGAAAGGGAAGAGGAAGTGTGTGAGGTACACTGCGGTGCAGTGGTTTGACGGTGGTCCGGTTGTGGTCGTGCCTCTGGAATGAGGGCTTGGTGGAAGCCTCTGGAACCCAGCATCTCCATAGCTTGGAGTACCCTGTAAGAGAGGAAATGGAAAGGAAGAGGAAGTGTGTGAGGTACACTGCGGTGCAGCAGTTTGATGGTGCTCTGATCATTGTCTTGAGGAAAGACGTTGGGTGCAAGGGCCAAGGGCCCGGTGGAAGCCCCTAGACCCAAGCAGCTCCATGGCTTGGAGTACCCTGAGAGGAAAGAGAGAGGAAGGGGAAGAGGAGGAGTGCGGGATGCACTGATGTGCGGAGGTGACTAAAGAGTCGACTCAAAAGTCACCTTGGAAAGAGAGAGGAAGGGAAAGAGAGGAGGAGTGCGGGATGCATTGATGTGCGGTAGTTTGATGGTGCTCTTATCGTGGTCTTGTGGGCACCCGTTGGGAACAGGCGCTCGGTGGAAGCCCCTCCAGCCCAGCATCTCCATGGCTTGAGACGTCACAAAGCATCTCCATGGCTTGAGACTTCTCAAAGCATCTCCATGGCTTGAGACGTCACAAAGCATCTCCATGGCTTGAGACGTCACAAAGCATCTCCATGGCTCGAAACGTCACAAAGCATCTCCATGGCTTGAGACGTCTCAAAGCATCTCCATGGCTTGAGACGTCTCAAAGCATCCCCATGGCTTGAGACGTCACAAAGCATCTCCATGGCTTGGAGTACCCTGAGAGGACAGTGAGGAAAAGGTATGAGGAGATGTGACCACAGCAGAGCAGGCATGCGCGTGGCAGTGTCCTGATCTTGGTCCCCCTCTTTGTCTCCCTCCCTCTTCCAAGCCTTATCTCACGTGGCATGCGGGTCCAGCACGAGCATGGTGCGGGTCTCCTCCGTTCCCACCAAACAACTACATCTTTTTTTCACACCCCCAACCCACCACTTATCTCCTGCCTCCACTCACGTGGCATGCGGGTCCAGCACGAGCATGGTGCGGGTCTCTTCCGTCTTGCCCATCACATCAGCCACACGAGACTCTTTCAGCCACTCCAACTGCCCAATCCCGATGCTCCCTCCCCTTTTCTCGCTCATTCCTCCTCCGTCGCCCTTTACTCCACCTCCCTTTTCGGTTGTTCCCCCTTCACCCCCTCCTCGACCCACACTCCCTTTTCCCCCTTCACCCCCTCCTTCCCCTTCTCCCGCTCCTTCCCCCTCACCCTCTCCTTCCCCTTCCGTTTCTTCCCCGCTCTGCTGCTCCTGAATCGACTCGAGGGCATTACTCATGCCACAGCTGGTGCTAGCACTGCTGGTGGTGCTGCTGGTGGTGCTGCTGCAGCGTCTGGCGATGAAAATGGTGATGTCGATGACTGAGATCTGCCATGGAGTAAGATATGGATGAACATCCAAGTCATCAGCCCCTACTGAGTGTTTCACTTATTCCTTTGCAACAATGAACCCAATCCGAGCCGCAAATGGACATCCATTGAACCAGTCCCCATTCTGTGTTTGCTCTTTTTTTTCTCTCTCCCTAACTAGCTTTTTCGATAGTGACTCTAGCATGCCACGGATGGACATCATCTTGTGTTGCTCTGTTCGACCACGCTCTTTATCCTCGGGCAACTACTCACCAAAAATAATTTGAATCAGAAAAGTGGCGACAATCGTGTTGCTCTGTTCCACCACGTTCTTTATCCTCTGGGAACTCACCATTCCAGTGAAACAGACTCTCGACGGAGTGACTTTTGAGTCGACTCAAAAGTCATCTTTATCCGTCGGGAACTCACCATTCCAGTGAAACAGACACTCGAAGGAGCAATAATTGGCCGCGGGTAGTTCTGCGTGCGCCGCGTAGAGGCCGAAATCGCCGACATCTGCGCGAGCAGGCGCCTCTGCGCGACTTGCGCCAATGACGGCGCGGAGCGGACGGGCATGGCGGTGATGTCGTGGCGGCGGAGGAGGTCCAACGCGGTATAGAGTGACGCGTTAGCGTCTACGGAAACGAGGCATTTCTTTCCTGCGACAATGTCCTGAACGCATGTTGAGCGTAGCACGGTCGCCATGATTCGCTAAACCACGGCAATATTGCTGGGAAAGTTGGAATTAGCTACAGAACTTGGCTCACATGTACAATTAACCTTGAACAAGCCGAGAATTTCATACTACGATGGGGAAAGGCGTTGCTACTACTGCTTAGGGCTTACATACATACGCGCGAGACGTGCTGAATGAAGTTGCGTGAATCAAGAAGCGTGGATTGATTTTGCAGAACAAGAAGAGCTCTTCAATTTCAACCTGAATCATGAAGTGTTCGAGGGTGTGTTTCTACAGACCTGAACAGGCGGGGCGTCACCGTTACGAGGTGCTCCAATTCTTTCATCAGACAATGTCAATGTGACTAGGAGTTAACTATCTGACAAACTTGTTCCCTCGACTATCATCATTTGCACCTATCCTGCAGTAGGGATACGTCCCAGAGCAATGAACGGGACTCTGGAACTTCCCGAGGTCCAGGTCACCCTGACGGGGCTTGTGAGGAGGGTGAGGTGTCGGAGAAGGGAGATACAGCGTTCTCGTTGATGACGTGATTCTGACATCTTCCAGATTGGCATCAGGACGTGTCACATTTGAAACATCGAGCGTGAGGAAATCGAAGTGCGGGGTATATATTAAGTCGCCATGTCTTGTATCCCTTTTTCGCTGGTATTATCTAGAACTCGAGACACATCACCGAGCGCGATGTCTCTTCCAGATGGATCTTTTACCGCACTCAAAACATACGTAATGCGTTTAAGACTGTCAATAAAAAATCTAACCCCGCTAAATCTCGAGCTTGAAGACGATCGCGACACATGTGGCTCAGAGGTGATCAATGCCCACAGCTTCGGTGCGTGGACCCGATCCTCCTTCCGTGTGTCAAATGTGACGCGTCCTCAGAATTCAAGTTTGCGCTACTATAAAAGCTGATTCAGATATATTTGAAGAGCTAGAAGATATATCGCGAGCAAAGGCTGCTTATATGTTTTTTTAGAAAGTTCAGTATATGATGCATAACAGGTCGTAACTACCTTTTTTGGGTTGCGAAGCAACCTATTACAATCGTTATGTTCAATTTTTTTTTTTCATCCTCTTTACTTAAAAAAAAAAAGGATAAGGTAACTAAGTGACTGACTGCCATGTCTTTGCCATGGCAATTTAGCATGCGCCGTACCATATTTCTTCTCATTTCTTGGTTCGCCTTGACCGAACCTATACTCTATGGGTTGCTAAAATGATGTTCCTGTGAACGCGTGACTGTTTATTCCGTAATGCATAAGCCGGATGATGTTACGGTATGCATAGATGAAATATAATGATGGATATGGTGAAAAAAATATTTAATGGAAAAATGCATAATTATGTTGCATATACTACTGTGGTAATGAAATGAATGCATATCATGATAAAAATGCGTCACAGTTAATTGACACAGACCCTATGCTACGGCATCCCCTGCCTAGCATGGGGGGGAGCTCAATAGCATAGTTCCTGAGTCATCCAACTGTCACATGAAACAACACAATCTGTGCGAACTAAAAAAAAGGTCAATTCTATCAAATCCAGTTCAAATGAACACACTCACTGAGTGGGCAAAGAACCTTCTCGGAAATGATAGTTTGATCCAATTTTTTAAAACCCACAGACATGTGTTATTAATGCAATGGAAGCATGAATGAAAACACATACGCACACAACACAATGCAAACACACACGCACATAGACAGATACAAAGACATGCACATGATCACACATATTCACACAAACGAAAAACGCTCAATGCATCAACTGTTAAAAAATAATAATAATAAACTAAAAGCAAAATTAAACCCTAGCCATATACATATAATCCTACACGGAACCATCTTATCTTTGCTTTGCACCGTCCAAAAAAACCTTCACTTCCTGAAGAAAACAACAAGGGAAAGAATCAACAATAGAAAGAAAGAAAGACAAATATGGAACAATGAGGATAAGGTGCAAAATTGTACAACAGAAACGCAAAGAATCCTAGCAATGACACAATACATTATACTTTTGCTATTCACGTGCTGAACTGATTTGATACATCCAATTTCCATAAAAAACAAAAAAAAAAGAACCAGTTAGTTAACATGGATACAAGAATCAGATAACAAACATGTTGAAAGAAGCATATGGAAAGAGGTGAAACAGAAAATAAAAAGGATCAGAGAAACAAGAGAAAATAGAGGAGCAAGGAAACTAGGTGCAACAGAAACAAAAGAACTACAAAAGAAGAAAGGGAACAAATAATTAAGAAACCGATCTAAGAATGAAGAGCCCAATAAGAGGACCGTTCAAAACTATAAACGAGTGCTGGTTAACAAAGAACCTATAACGTAGAATAAACCAATTCAAGAAAAACATTGTTGAAACGGAAACGAGATGCAACGGAAACAAACAGAAGTTCATGTCTAATGAACAAGGATAAAGTTCAGACTAATACGGAAAGAGGAACGGATAAGAGAAACACGAGAGGCGAAATACAAATACTAAAAAAACAACAACAAAAAAACAAAACAAAAATATCAATAGAGCGAACTCACCTAGCTACGATTAGATCGTGCATAGTTGAAAGGGGACGCCCGTTGAATGTGTACCTCATGACTGAATGGAATGAAAGCTGAAGGGCAAGGGTATATAGAGCTCAGAAACGAAATGGAGAAGGCACGTATGGGTGGTGGCAATAAATAAGGAGCACAAGACAAGAACTAAAACGTGAAGGTTAAGTATTCAAATCTACATAGAAAGAACAAAAGAGGAAATGAAGTGAGAATGTCAAATAACATATGCAACTACAAGGTGATAAGGATGCGACGGAAGGAAAAGGACGATGAGGAACTAAAGAACGCATGCAGGCTTATAAACGACTTAAAGCTTAAGTACTTGAAACAAGTCTAGAACCTAACCTTTAAAAACCTGGATCCTTTTAGAATTGAGTTTACGACTACGATACGATAATAAGAAATGATAGGCTAGCTCTTAATCTCCTAACTTAGTTCTATACAGGCTAGCTCTTAATCACCTAACTTAGGTTGATCTCACCTTGTCGAGAGAATCAGGCAAGGTTTTGGTTCACTATGGAGAGTTTGGTACTGTCAAACATTGCATGTTTATATTGTCTAGGCTGTAGTGGGTTACACCTTAGGGGGTACACAAAGTTAGGGTTTACTACTTGTACCAAACTCTGTTCTAGTTCATTCATTCCTGCTCAGTTATTTCTGACATGGTTTCAGAGCAGGTCCTTCGCTAGGACTGTTCTTAGGGCCCACCGACTTACCTACCTGCTTACCAGGCGCCACGTAAGTGGCACGACACACTGAGGACGACACTTGCGGCTCTTGGGTTCGCTCCCTCTACTGCTGACCCGTCGCTGTTTCTACGCACCGACACCTCGCTGCCGCCGTTCTACATCCTCGTGTACGTCGACGACTTGGTCTTTGCCACTGCTGACACCGCGGCACTCGCTCACGTGAAGTCGGAGCTGCAGAGGAGACACACGTGCACAGACCTGGGTGAGCTGACGAGCTATCTTGGCTTGCGGATCACCCGGGACAGAGCACGGCGCACCATCACCCTGACTCAGTCACACATGGTGCAGCAGGTTCTCCAGCGCTTCCGCTTCACGTACTCCTCGCCTCAGTCCACTCCTCTGCCTACCGGTCACTCGCTCTCAGCTCTGCCTTCGGATGAGTCCGTAGAGCCGAGTGGCCCGTATCCAGAGCTTGTGGGCTGCCTCATGTACCTGATGACCTGCACTCGACCTGACCTTGCATACCCTCTTAGCATCCTAGCACGCTATGTCGCTCCTGGCCGTCACCGGAAGGAGCACATGGATGCTGCTAAGAGGGTGTTGCGCTACTTGTGCAGTACGTCGGGCATGGGGCTTGTGCTTGGAGGGCGAGACCGGGTTGTTCTCACAGGGCACTCAGACGCTTCTTGGGCAGACGACCAGGCTACTCAGCGGTCGTCCCAGGGTTACACCTTCAGCCTTGGCTCTGGCTCAGTTTCTTGGCGTTCTACTCGCTCTTCTTCTGTTCTCAGCTCCAGTTGTGAGGCTGAGATCTACGCCACAGCCATGGCTGCTCAGGAACTACGCTGGCTGACCTACCTGCTGACCGACCTCGGAGAGCGGCCTCGTTCTCCTCCAGTGCTGTACGTCGACAACAAGGCTGCCATTGCCTTGTGTGAGGAGCACAGACTGGAGCACAGAACGAAGCACATCGCTCTGCGGTACTTCCTTGCTCGAGAGCTGCAGCAGCGTGGTCAGCTTTGTCTGCGTTACGTGGCCACGGAGGCCAACACTGCTGATGTGTTCACCAAGGCGCTTCAGCCTTGTGACCATCAGCGCTTTTGCACTCTACTAGGCCTTGTACCTACTGGGCCTCACTTGCTTACCTCTTGACCTTGTTTGTACTGTGATCACTATATATATATGCCTACTTTTTTTACTTTTGCTAGGTTGTGATCACTGTATCTCTTGCTTTGTTATAAACCTGCATGTGAACTGGTCTTGAGACCACTTGCTTGTGCTCGGAATTTGTGTGGAATCCTTGAGATCCACCCTGAGCTTGCTTTACTTTGCTTTGACTGGTCTTGTGACCCTGTGGTTGTCTCCCACTGCGCCTATGGGGGTGTGTCAAACATTGCATGTTTATATTGTCTAGGCTGTAGTGGGTTACACCTTAGGGGGTACACAAAGTTAGGGTTTACTACTTGTACCAAACTCTGTTCTAGTTCATTCATTCCTGCTCAGTTATTTCTGACAGGTACAAGATAACACAACCTGCAAAGTGTTATCCCCTATAACATCTACCCCACTACAGCCTACCAATATATATCACACATATATATCATTTGACACACCCCCATAGGC